GAGACGACCTTCGGAGAGGTTGCGCACGGCAAGCTGCCGCTCATTATCAAGGCTAATAACCACGTAAGTCACCCAACGGCCAGATTTGGTGCATCGTGACTGACATGTGCACAGTGGGATATCCAGCAAATCATCAGCATCAAGAAGGACTTCCCCGACGTTAACATTGTTATTCAAGGCGGTGCTGAGGCCCCTCTGGTAAATATCATTCCTGACGCTGGCCCATTATCAGACTAACCATGCATTGCAGGTCGCCCTGGAGCTCGCCAAATCCCAGATTCCTCTCATTCTCACACAGACTCGCCCCGCACCCGACGAGTTCCGACACCGAGACGCAGTCGTCGGCCCGCCCCTGACGCCTAGTGTCGCCCGTCTCTTGAGCGAGGCAGGTGTTTACTTCGCCATTGCCGTTGTCTCTGACAGTATGTTTCCCCCTGAGTTTCCCTTTCATACAGTCGCTATGAAAATAATACATAGACTGACACTTTCCGTTCCTTAGTCATGCCAGCCGACTACCGCCTCCACGACCTTGCGCTCGAGGCCTCTTGGGCAGCCAAGTACGCCAACCTCGGAGCCAAGGAGACCGTCCGTCTTGTGTCAAGCAACGTGGAAGACATTCTCGGCCTTGAGAGGAGCAAGGACATTGTCATTTGGGAGGGCAGCCCGCTCCAATTTGGAGGTACTGTGGCGCTCAGCTTCGAGGAGGGCAAGGATGGCGAGATTGAGGTCGCCGCTTGCTGGCCGCAGGAGCACGATGAGCAGTAGACAGGGCTCAAGATTGTCCCATACTTGTGTGTATATCTACTGTAAATGTAATTCATCTTTTATGCCTAAGTTTGGCAGTATCATAGGCACTGCGGATGGTGCGAGGCGTTTATAGCAAAAGGTGGCGATCGTCAGAGAGCAGTCCCTGATTGTTGCGCTGTTTGCAAGCATTGCATTCATCACCAACAAAGAAGAAAGCTTGGTTTGTTGGGTCCCATCTGACAAGCTTGGACCATAATATACGGGGTAGAAAAGAGTCAGCTTTGAGAAGAAGATAGAAATAAAGCCCGTAACGGTTATGTATCTGCGCCACGCGCAAGCTTTCGTTCCACTCAGCCGGAGGCCCATATATATACTAGACGATAACAAATGAAGAATCAGGTCTCTTTATTTACGATGCCGTCGACGCCGTGCGCTATGCTATGTAACAAAATCATCCAGAGATACCCCCGGTCTGTGGGAATGAAGACCTCTTCTCTACGTCCATGCTTCTCAACCATGGCCGACAAGTGAGTCACCGGTAGACACGAAAAGATGTATACTGAACAGGTAATGCCGAACTTACGAGCGCCTGTTCTCATCTTCATCCCTGGAGTCAATAGTTGTTGGATGGTACCTGGCGAGCCTAAACGGGGTATTACTCTGTCTCGCACTGACGTGCGGTCCACTTGGTGCGGCACTACGCTCGTGGTATCCCACCTCGAAGACGGTGCGGTCGTCTTCGTTATAGATTGCCCTGACGGGTCCCGGTATAAGTCCAGGTCTCCAGTTGTCGGGCTCTCTACCCTCACCCGGACTTGGCATGATGGGATGCTCGTAGCGAGGGGCTTCAGATCTGACAGGGAGTCTCTCGCGATTGAAGTACTGATGGGGATAGCCGCGATTTCCACCATGGTACGAAGGAGCCTGGCAGACCTGACGTCTGACATCTGAGGCGAGAAGAAACCTGTACTCGGGGTTTTCACAGTCGGTCTCGTACTGCGAAATAATCACAGGGTTACGTTCAGCTAGGACGTGAAGTACCGGCGGATCACTCACATGAGACGGGGTCGGGCTTCGACGGCGGCGGTGCTCGAGATCTTGCTCGTCGAGGTAATCCTCCTCCTGACGAGGTTCATACGTCCAGCGGTGAATCTCACGCTGATCCTCGACATCAATAATCGCGGTTTGCCGACGCGAAGTCCTGACTTCCGTCTGCGAGGACGTCGAGGAACCGGTGCCACTTCTGAAGTGGTGACGGTTAGACGAGTAGCTCATCTTGAGTATTTTCCTTTTCAAGTACTATACCTGCGAGATGATCAGTGTTATCGAGAGACATAGAGAGTGAGGGAAGAGTTCAAGATGGCTCAGCGCAAAGTAGACATGCAGAAAGACTTACACCACCTAGACGCCGAGAAAACTCCCGAGATAGTATGGCGAGAGCAGTTGGGATCATACCAATGTCGACTGAGAGTAGAGAGAGTGTTCACTCGGGAGAAATCCAAGGGATTTTATTGTCGAATTTTCTTTCCCAGCGCTGAAGTGGATGGGGTTTAAGAATTCACTCACCTCATGTCGCCGTCTGCGCAAGGATGACATTGCTATTGCTTATGTCCTGGCGCGCATCATCCAAAGGGTAACCAAGTGAATATCATCTTCAGACAAATTTGCTTCGAATATATCTGAAAAGCCATCACTGTGAATTGGATGCTTCCTCTGTAAGGTTGGGCGTGTCTCAAACACGTCAGTCGAAGACGTCAACAAGTCAAGAGTAGTGACAATATTCCACGCATAGTATGATAACTCTGTGCCTTCCTAGATCAAAGATCCAGATAATGTATGGATGTCACAGGTGACTCAGGGGGCATCAAGTGTCTATAAACATCATACGGATGTAATCTGAGGACTTGACGATACTTCACTTTCGTCATGACCATAACCAGTGACTCAGTTACATTCACGGAGTTTTGTCCTTACTTATTCGCTACTTACTAGAAGCGAAAGTTGATTCGTGTATCAAAAGCTTCGCAAACTGAGCCACATGGATAGAAAGTGAGGCTGTTGGGTGCTTAAAGGAAGAAGCAGGCGGGGCGAGTGACTTCCTCCTCACATCACCACCTCCTTCCTTACTCCGGTACGCCAATTCACCTTCACCTCTCGCACTTTCCGTATTCACCCAGTCGCAGATACTCTGGCGCTCCACCTTTTGCCCATGTCTTCCAACCCCCACACGCGCGTTCGTGTTTTGGACGTCTTATTATAACACAACATCATCATCCACTCAAGTCAATCATTATAGAGGGACCCTGCGTCGCACAATCCATCAATACTCAGACTGGAGCACAGATCCAAATCAAACAGAGTCAGCGATGGAACGGGACGCGCAAGCAGACGCCAAAGTTCGAGCAGAACGCTCCACGAAGCTAAATGGAGAACCTGCGACAGAAGACGGGGCAAGAAGCACGACGCAGTTGCCAATTGCGCCTAGTGCGGAGATCGAGACTCATGGTCCAGCTTCTGAAGAAGTCGATAGCGAGACCTCGCCCGCAAAAATTGCTGCTTTCGAGCTCGAGATTAAGGACAAGATCCTGCAAAGCTACGACCTCGATGGTAAGGACATCACCCCAGAACATATTGCTGTCCTCAAGGTGTTCGCTCGCGGAATTTCCGCCGCCACTCCAGAAGCCGCAAAAGAGGCCGCGCGTCAACTCAACGATCTCTGCCCTCCCTTGAACCGAACTAGAGAGGCCAACAATTGGATGTACATGGTCTGGCTCGTTATGCTCGACATCGTTGCAGATATTGGATCGAAAGACACAGTACAAGAGGGTTGTGTCCGCATCCTCGAGGAATTGGTGCAGTGTGCCAAAGGGATGATGGACGTCTGGGGCGTAAGTTGCCTTTACAATATTCTGAAGTTGTGTGTTGGCTGATTACGCTTTTAGAGCGATCTACGGATGTGGAGAGATCTACCTGTCTTCCCAATCGCCTTTCACGAGTACTGGGAAAATGGTAAGTTCCATCTTTTATGCCACGTCGAAGAATGATTCTCAATTATTTCCAATACAGACCCAACCAGCAAACTAGGAGCAGAGAAGCTTGATCACGCAGACGTCCAGAGCTGGAAGAACATCAGCTGCTTTGCGGCTCGACTGATGCGCTCAGGTCTCGCCAGTGACTATGACCAAGCCATCATAGCATTGCGGACAGCCCTTGAGGAGGATGTGAATACGTTGCCAGAGTTTGCAGACTGCAGGACACAGGTCGCTTGCCTTTGGATCAAGCACGCTGACAAGTTTCTTCTACGATGGGCGCTGGAGAACCCTGGGCGTGCGGAAGTCGCTGGGGGCTCCCCATCGTATTTGGAAGCAGGCCCATTGTACGGCGGACCTGCGACCATGTGTCTGCAGAGATGGGGCTTCTGGATTGAACGTCTGGAGATGCTTGGGAAGGAGGCATCTGTATTGGAAGAAGACACGCGGGAAATGGCACTTCAGGCCGCGAGGACGATAAGAAACGTCGAGAAGCGTGTGCGTCGTTTATTGTCAGCATGAACTGCCCCCCAAGCCTGCAGAAAAGTTATCATAGCTTAGTAGTTGGCATTAATCCAGCGCGACTCAAAGGTCTACGGTCTCTTTGGAAATAGAAAGCATTGTGTTACCAGGCTGTGGAATCCACAAGGACAATTGTTTTCATCAGGAGCAGAACAATCTTGATTTCCGAAAACAGCACAACTGAGAGCTTCTATCGCTGTGGGTATCTTTTGCTCATAAATTCCAATCTGCAAGCCAAGTGCAGAACGACGAAACCAATGCCAAAACGCCCCAACTTCGATGCGATGGCACCGTCAGATCAGCACAACCAATGCAACTGAAAAGAATATCATCCATGTCTCATTATCCCCAGCTCTCCGCCACGCGTTTGCTTCATGCTCCTCTGGCTTGATAGACCAGTGGCCTGTCTGCATCTTCGAGAACCTGCCATCCAATCTGCAATCCTTCGTGATGTTCTCAATCAAGCACCGCAATGCGCCTCGCTTGTAATCTGACAAAGGTGTTAGAGATGGAAGCAACATCGTCTAGGACAAGGGATATCGCGCCTTTCAAGGAAGAAGCTGTGTCCACGCAAACTCGCTGATTCTCAAAAGATGGCATTGCTCATCTTTGACCCAACATCGCCTACTTGCGCTGCAAGCTTCAAGACTTTGGGTTGTGAAAGGCGGGACGGTACGTCGCCAGCGAAAACGGGTGGCTCTTCTAGGGCCTTCCATCGTCCTGCTCGCGGCTAGGATGCTTCTTGTCGTGGTACGCCACGTCGAACACGTCACGGTCTGCATCGTTGTAGATCGCGCGGATGGGCCCTGGCTTGCCGCCGGTGTAGTTGTTGCCGCGGTCGCCCTTGGACGGGCTAGGCTTCATTGGGAACTCCGTCCACGCAGGCTCGGCCTGCAGAGGGATCGGGGGCTTGTTTCTGTAGGCGTGCGGGTAGGTGCCGCGAGAGTAGTACTCCGAGGGAGCCTGGCGGACTTGGCGGCGTATGTCGGCAGCGTTGAGATGTTTGTATTCCGGTTCTTCGCACTCGGTAGAATACTTTCAAGGGTTGTTAGATGGACTTCATCGGCATAGAGATGGAGGAGAGGGGGGTTGACGCACGTGCGAGTCGTGAGACTTACGTCTCTCGGCCTTCTCAGGCTCCTCCTGTCGCTCTATGCGACTCCTGAAAGAGTTCTCGGAGTGGTTGACCGAACGGCCGGCCTTAGGAGAGACGACGGAAGCCCAGTTCATTGGGACAATAGGAGGTGTGCGTGGACGCGAGCCGCTGGGAGCGCTTGTTTTGGTCTGCAGACGAGACGCATTGAGAGACATGGCGACGTCTTGACAGATAGGGGTAGTCTGCGGGATGCGTGTTTGTTTAGGAGATAATTGGGGTTCAGAACCGCCGTTGTTTGGAGTTATCGCCGAAAGGAGGCGAAGGGAGAGGACGCGAGAGTTACGAGGTTGTTGAGGGTGAAAGAGAGAGGGGCTCCCCTGGTTCCTTATATGGTGAAGACCGCGAGGCGCGATCACTCTGACGCGGTCAAAGCCTGAGGCCTCGCCTCTAAATTCACTTGCGGTACCCCTTTTAGCGCGATCTATCATCAGACGATGCCCACCCTCTGAGGCATCAACCTCCCAAGCAACCGCGTAGCAACGCGCGAGGTGACGCGAGTGAGGCAAAATACACACGCTGTTAGGATAGACAATAACAAGAACTTCCAAGAGTCGCCACGATTCCTGTTGAGTACCTACCGCAAGAGCAGCTGCTCTGTTTACTTGACATACCCGGATTTTGGGAATAGCTTCATGACCAGGACCCACGTTGACCGACGATACTGTTTCCACGGTAGGCAGGGTCGTTTGACCGATGCAATAGAGGGCAGACACCAAGTCAACAAACCTGGATCTGCCATGGCAACGCCTTCTCCTGATTGGTTTGCTTAATTCACTGGGCGGTCGGGTGATCTTTGAGGTGAAGTTGCGACAAACGGGTCACGTGGCAGGGCCGCCCTTGGGAGGGCACCCACGTCTACAAAGAACAAACGGGGCAAGCGATTTGCTTTCAGATCAGCTTTTCTAGCTGTGGCCAAACTCGAGATTTATTTCAATACCTGCCTTCCGTCTTTTTCTCCCCTCCTCCTCTTTCACCAACTGACTTCCTCCTCCGATTTTCCGCATCCCCCCCGAGTTTGCAACACCCCCCCTCCCCCCTCAATTTTTCCTTCTTCCCACTTCCCCGAAGCCATCATAATCGTGGTCAATACTACAATCCAAAGGATAAAGAACATCGTTTCGACGCCAGAATGGATCCCGCCTCGGATTCCCCGACGGAAGTCGACCCAGACGTCGCGCCAAACAGCGTTGAGAAGCCCACAACCGAGCCGGCGACTGAGCCAACGCCCGACATTGCAACAGACGACGCGACGGACTTGGCCCAAATCATGGCTGAGATAGTGATGGAACCGAATGCTGATGTCAAGTCCCAACAAGCTTCTCAATCTACTCACGAGTCCACCGCCCAGGCTTCTGCGAAGTCGCCTTCCGCTGCCGAGACTCCTCTCCCTCCGAGCCCCCGACCCTTGCCTGGCTTTCGATACAGTTCTATTTTCCCAAGATTACTTGTGCCTATCGAGCGAAGCATTGCCTCTGATCTGAGGACATCGTTCGGCGACGGAACTCCTCTCGCAACGGAAGCTCCTGCGGTAGTCACTGAGGACTCGACGGCCGCTCTCTCTGACGCATCTGATGACGATACTGCCTCATTCCACACCGCGCCACTTCACCAGAGGGGTGATGATCTACTTGGTCCTAAGCTGACGACCTTTTACGAGATCAAGAAGTTTCGAAACCGAGACTTCTCCAAGCAACAGCGTCGCATTATCGACGCATTGGACCTCACCTTGCGACCTGGCGGTGGAGAGGCTGCGTCTGAAGTCGCCGCAGAGATTGATCGACTTTGCCCGCCCAAAAAGGAGGAGGATGGCGTTGAAGACTGGCTGTGGATGCTGTGGGAGACTGTCATCGACATCGTACGCTTTGGCTCATTCGAAGTTGGCGACCTCATGCACAAAGTCGTTTGGCACTTGCAGAAGCGTGCGGCAAGATATGTGAAGATTGAAGGTGTCAGTTTTCCCCACCAAGATCTTCGTTTCGCGTGATACATACTGACAAGAAATGGTCCTGCAGGTGGAAGAACGTCTTTGGACAGACCTTCCCATGTTTTCGTACTGCATGGAAGCTCACTTCAACGGTATGTCGTTTGCTGATTGCCTTACTCAAGAAATGTGACTTCTGACTTGCTCCCAGATCCAACCACGGGAGACATGGAGTCAAGCTGCGAAGACAAAGATGTCTGGGTCCATTTAAATTGGTTTGCAGCTCAATGTCTGCAGGGTGGTTTTGGCGGACCGTACCACCACGCCATCCACGCCATGAGATCGGCTCTCGAGGAAGAGATGAGCCCAGACAGTTTCACTATTCAATGTCGGCTGTTTGTCGCCTGTTCTTGGATGATGCTGGCAGGCAAAATCATTCTGAGAAGGGCACGGGAAAATGCTCGTCGAGCGGAACATCCAAAGGAAGATTCGATGGATTTCGAAGAGCCGGGACCTCTATATCACGGCCCCCCGATGCTGTGTTCACAGCGATGGGATTTCTGGGTCCAGAGGCTGAAGCAATTGGGCATGGAACTTCCGGAACATATCGGGAGCAGTGCATGCTCCACGTGGCGGCAGATGAAGTGGGCTGAACAGGATACTGATTACTGTTTGACAGACTGGGACTAACAATGGCTAGACGAGCTATTAGTGAATACGTATGTGGGTTTAGTCACCAAAAAAATAGTATGGGTTCGGCAGGAGGTTTTCATGTCTGGGTACTCTCTTGACGACAGAAACTCGACGAGACCGGCTTCTCCTAGATAGCAGCCTAGCAATAGAAGGTGATCTCAACCACTTCCATGAGCACTTGGCAAATCTAAAACGAGACGAATGGTGTCGCCCACTAGAATTCTTCGCTGGCCGCAGCTTCAAACACGACAACGCCTCGGCCGTCTGATTCCTCAGCAAGTATATTGCCGTGTAACGCATCGGAGCTTGACAGATGATTCCGTCAACGACGATTGGCTCACCCCCCAGACATGAGGGGAAATACAAGAGTACGACCTGCGTCAGCTTCGAATAATTGTCGACCCAGCGTGTCTCGTCTCGTGGAAAATTATTGAAACTGCTGACTTCCACCGTCCTAGACATTCGGAGACACAGGTCCAACAGAGCGAGACGCACGTAATCGTCATTCGAACACAAACATCACCCGCGCGGGCCCATGTCTGTCAGCCCTAGCCCCGAAGACCGCGATCCGGACGCTCGGCACTCACACGAGCGAAGCTTTTTGCGTGCTACGCCGTTCCGGGTCGCGATGCTGTAAGGTGCGCGATAAGGGCACACTGATGTAGGCGCATTGACTCTGTCTGACGGGGGAGGAGGCAACACCAGCTGAGAGACTTTTTTCCACGCTAAGGAGGAGCTGATGGTAGGTTAGTCGGCACTGATGGGCACGGAAGATGCTCTGATGTCGGTGACGGTTCGGTTCCGTGAGAGATGCCCGGCTGAGCTCCCCCGGATCAACAAGCCGCGGTGACATGATCGGCTGCGCTTGCTCAGACAAGGGATTCTAGATGGGCGAGGGGCGACACATGGCTTAAGATTGGATGGCGTTCCCGGCTGGACTGGGCTCGGTATCGTGCGCGCCGCCGTCGATCCGTCCCTGCGGGAAAGCACTATCGCAAAGCGGGCAGCAATCATCTCATAAATGAATCTTGTTAGTCCGCTCGTCCAAAGGATCGTCGCATGTTCTGACAGGAATAAGAAAGTTCGGCAAATTTGCAGGAAAACTGCCGTTCGCCGAGAATTGGTGCATGGTGATGTAAGCGAGCATAGCGGTTGCATGGCTGGTGGCTTCGGTCTTTGGCTGACGGGAGGGCTGCCCGCACCCACGTATCTGTGCAAACAAAACTGAACATTGTTGTTTCCCAGAAGGTGAAAACAATGTGTTTCATATGAGAAGCCACGCATTCTGATCTTGACCGGTATTCGTCATCTGTTTGATTGGGCGGGCCACTGTTGTGAGCCCGGCGTTTCTGAAGCGCGCGCCAGTCTGTGGTTTTCCGCCCTTGAATGCGACAGGGGTACACCCTCACGGGCTTCACAAAAGGTGAGCAAGCATGAATCGCATGACGGTCGCCCAGAGAGCAGGGTATGCTTGAATGGATTGCAACGTCGAGGCATCTTGTCGTGCCCTATTATCGTTCATTTCGCGTCTGCTCTTGGCCTTACTCATCCAAACCAGGCCCTGCTTGGCAATATGAACGTGCGAAAAGAGCCATTGGAGCCCCCGACGCCGACCGTATAAGCGGAGGCTGAATGACATGGAAATAAACAGACGGTGGCAGTGCTGAGGAGTAAAAGCATGGACAGTGATGTTGATGGCGGTGAGTGGTACCTGGGAAGCCCGTTGAGGAACTCCATGACGACGTCCGGTGACAATTGCCCTGGCCGAAGAACAATTGACCAAAAACGGTGAGACTGTCTCCGACCGAAGTCTTGGGAAGACAGAAGGACACTCGACCGAAGTCCGGGTAAGCAAGGATTGGCGAGCGTTGGAATGAAGCGTTGCAAAAAGAGACCTAATTCGAGCAAAGGGTGCAAGTGCGCCGTTGTAGATGAAGGGTATGTTGCTAGGATTCAGAGTCAGAGTATGAAGGCTGATCGAAGCAAGAGTTGTGTTCCTGACTTTTCCCAGCCTGACCGAACGGCAACATGGCCACGATGCTTGAGGGTGACTGGTCTAGAGAGCTTCCACGTCACGACTCTAGAATCGGAGGCGCAAACCTGTCCGCAGTTTCAGCCATACGAAAGCCTCTTGTCAAGGGAAGCAAACGAAGATGCAAACGTGACCAGCCGTGATGCTTCCGCAGCCACCCAACCACTTCACATTGGAGGTTGGCGCCAGCCGCATCTGACAGCCATCATTTGGTCGACTTGAGGGAACTTTGGTATGCGGATGGCTTCGAGGTCGACAGCGACCTAGACCGGCAAGCGGCAGTCACGGGAGGACCTAGAGGATGGCAAGCCATTTATCAAGTGCCATGAGAATGATCTCCGGGCAGGCGGCCGCGGCCGCAACGCCCCTGAGAGGCATGTGGTGTGGCGGTTTCATAAGTTATCAAGTTTCCGTGTCGCTGAATTCGGTGAGCTGGCGCTGCAGCTGATGAGAAGGAAATCCCGATGCAATGGACAGGGAGACGATGTAACGAGGTCACATTCGGAGGTAGAGGTTGATCTCCCCGTCGGGGCTTGACCAATGGAACGGTGGCGGCTCGACGAAGCGTGATTCGCTGGAGGTTCCGTGAATGTTTAGTTGAAAACGTGGGTAGACAGACATGGGATGAGCGCCGGGATGAGACGTTCTGAAACCCCACCGGCGGCTGGCTATGCGATACAGTGGTCCTTCAAAATCCATTGACCATTGAGTCGGGCCTGTGCAATCTGTCATGGCAGGGTTCAAGACAGATCCTCCAGCCTCTGTGGGAGATGTCGGCGAAGGTCTGGGTCTTTGGTGAACCCCACCAGAGCGAATCCATCGGTGTTCTCCTTCAGTCGAATGACCTCGCAAAGGCCCAAGGATTGGAATGGAAACAGACTATTGGGTCACCATCCACTTGCAAAAATGAATGGGATTGTTCTCCTGGTTGGTATCGTTGGAATTTTGAACCCAATCGAGTGTCGTGCGACCAAAGCGGACAGCTATGAGTGCACAAGCAATTATGCAGCTAGAAAAGTCTTTCCCGGACCAAGAGCAGCCGAGACAAGAAGATTCCTCGCCGGGGCAAGAAAGGGATTGTTTGCAGGCTGGCTGAGGTGCGTGACGAAGAAGAATGACACTGGAAAGAGGAGTTGTCTTCGTCGTGGCTGCCAGGTGTGAGAACATCCAAACTGTGCTCCTGCGACCGCAACTGTTCAGCAGATGGCAGGTGCTGGCGACTGTCGTCCATCATCTGGATTGTTCTTTCCAGTTTCTCTTCTCAACTGCAATCAACGAGGTACGTACCATACCAGATGGCATGGGGAAACCCCTGCGCAAGTGGACCCGCCAGCCCAGGAACCACTTGCCTGGATTAAGGTTAGCATAGCGGCCGGCCCTTCCTCTTCCTGTTTGCTCGCCCCCTCGACCCCTCAACCCCTTCACTTTCCATTCTGAGGTCCATTCTGAGTCCAGGGAGAGCTGTCACTGCTGCTTCGACTCGCTTTTGGGCATTTCGGGGCTCGATTGAGTGAGCGCCGTATCTTCTCTTGTTCCGTCTCACCTGGCTGAAGAAAACAGCGACAAACGGCTGCTGCTTCACCCTATCTCCACCGCCCGTCATCCCAGCCGAGATCCCGTCACCCCCGCCGCAACCTCGTCATTCCCGACGACGACCGTATTGGCAATGTCCACATCATCAAATCCGTCAGCCTCTCGATGGACGGGCAAAGACATGGTGGATTAGATGAGAGAGACCGTGACAGCCCGCCAAAACGTCATTTCTTGGTGGCCCCTCGGCTTCCGTTGCCCCTGAAATACGAATACTGCCAAATGCCATGGAACAGTCGGGATCAATGGTTTTTCTGGTTGCCATGCGCTTCGGCCAAACTGCTGCTAGCTTTTCCAGACGGACGGAGCGCTTCTCGTTTCCAATGTCAACCGTCTACGCCACCAACGGGCACCCGTCGCTGCCAAAGCAGTATGCTTACCTCTTGCCGCCTGGCCTCGCGGGTTACTGAGCCAAGGTGGCAGTCGCTTCTTCCAAGGCGCTGATTCAACCTGGTTGAAGCTGACTGGCCGCCACTCGGCACGGCACAGCGCTAGCAAAAAAAGAACTCACACTCAGGGGCGAGCCATGCTGCTAAGTTCGTCCGGCGTCACACTGGACGACAATCCAACCCGGGACCTGCACAAAAAATGGCAGCTAGACGCAAATATGGCCAATGAGGGTGCCTCCTTCGTATGCACTATGCAGGAACAAGTCTTGCAGCACACCATCTCAACTTTTGCGCACTCCCGCGGCCTCCTTTTCAAGTCTGGGCGGTTTCCCGTTTGTAAGTGTGCAGCACAGCCGCAGTTGCAGTCTGCAGAGAGGAAAACGCCCGGCCAGAGGAGGAGCGGGGTCTGGTATCCAGGGGCTTGCAGCGCTTGTTTCTTCTCTCCAGCCGTCTGCCGTTTCTCTGGTGGTGGGAAGCCACCTAAACAACTTTGTTTCCCCGTTCTTTTCCTTGATGTTGATGCCACTAATGCATATTCTGCTTCTTGGTTGTGGATAATAATGGCAGGATAAGCTGAGTAAATGTACCCGAAAATAGCTGCACAAGAGTGAAGGAACCTCGACGCACTCTGAAGCTTAAGGGTTCGTCCCTGTCGTTCATCCCATGTTTAAAGTCTATCACCAGGGGACGGAAGCGGGCCATATTAGCACTCGGTACTCAGCCCAGCCAAACACCCGCAGTCCTTCCCATCTTGCTGGTCTCCCGCCAAGATGCGTTGCCTCCCCGGCCCCCGGCAGACTTACACCCACGCCCACACCACCTCCTCGTCTCCCGTGCCCCCGTCATCGCCCTGCGGTCCTGTGGGCATCCATCGCCGTTTTTCCCAGGCCGCACTACCCAGAACACTCCATGGCGTCACGGCTGAGCGCGCCTGGGCTCTAGACTAGCGTCTTCCTGCCCCCCGGGCCTCTTCCGCGCGGCGAGAA